AAAAAAAAAAATTGTAGGTATAAGAGGAAATTAACATGACAGGTTGTGAGAATAAACAGATGGGAAAAGGCTATAAGAACAATGCCATAAGCCAAGCATGGTAGTACACTGCCTACTACCAGAGGCTGAGGCAGGAGAGATGGCAAGTTATAAGCCAGGCTCAGAATACCTATAATGCTGCCCCAATTTATGTTCCCCCACCTAACACACTAGTTGGCAGAACAATGGAGTCCTAATTTTGGTGACAAATAATTTTTGAAGAGGACAGCATGACTGAATTTTCCTGTCTTTTAGGTGAATGAACTCATTCCATCAGAAACAGAAAATTCACATCATCCAGTCATATCAGAGTTTTCTATGCAGAAGTCAACAGAATCTACAGGTAATGGCTTGAGTAACTGAAATGGTGAGTCTAGGGATCACACCTTTTAAGCTATATACTTAAATAATTCAGCATGGCCCCAACTCTTTCTTAAAATAGAAACACTGCCAAAATGTACCATGGCAGGAAGCTTACAAGAAGCATTTGTAAAGAGAAAAAAATCATTTTTGGAGAGATCCTACCAGAGGCAGAAAGAAATAAGGAATAAGAGCAAACTCACTGAAAATTCCCAAATCAAAACAGTTAAGGAGAAACAGTGTACAGGTATGCTGTCTTTGAATAATCAATCGACTGTCATACCAGGGCTTTGCCTATGCCCTAGCAAATCTGGCCTTTATTTCCCTTTTCCCAGGTTCATCTGTGAGTCGCCTTAAGGGAGTCAATAAAGTTAAAATGAATTTTCCAGAAGAAAGAAAGAATGCACACACCCTCATGCACCAAAGGGCTCTAAGGTAGCTTTTTTTTTTTTGCTTTATTTTTAGTAGCTCATTCTTCTTCAATATTGTATTTAATTCCATATAAATTAAATTACTTTCAGACTATATAATCAATTAGCTGAAGTGAAACAACAAAAGGTAGAGAAAGCAAAACAAGAAGCTTATGCCCAGAACAGAGAAAGGGCAAAAGAATTTCATAAGGTAAACAAGCCTCCTCCCTTCTTACATTTAGCGCATATCACAATAGGAACTGCTGCTGCTTATTTTTTATTTATTCTCTCCACAGAAAACACTAGAGAAACTTCGAGCCAAAAATACAGGCTGACTCTTCTTTAGAATGGTGTTTTTCTTTTAAAAGTGTGTAATTTTAAGTCAATAAATTTTTATTTAAGGAATTTCCATTGTGATTCCTTTGTTGTCCATTCCAAGAATACCCTAAAAAAGAGCATAGACATTGTTGGTTAAACATTCCCACATCTATCAATCATCATGATCACAAGTTGGTAAATAAATGTTATCTCCTCAGGAATATACAGCACTACTGAGTGACTATGGGGTCCTGTGGAGAACATCAATCTGTGGTCACTGCGTTAAGGGCTCCTGGTTTCACAGCCCCAAAAGCCCTCTTTGAAATGACCATTGTGTTATATATAGGTCTCAAGTACACACACATACCTTTTTAGACGATCTGATGCTTATCTGTTTGTTTCAAGAGCCCTATAATATAATAAGGATATAGAGAATTAGAGCAATCAAGAATGAGTTCTGGAGCCATATCACCAAACTGGTGTAAACAGTGTGTGTGAGAATCTGAATGTTTTAAAAGTCTAGGCAACATAGACAAAAAAAAAGTATATTGAATGTTCCCAATGGGTTGAATGCTAGCAAAGTAGCAGATAGAAAACCTAGAGGGAATTATTTTATGGTCATGTCCACAGCAAATAAGAAACTGTATTCAAAAAGCCTTGGTAATGACCATTATACCATGGAAAATACATTATAAATTAAAAAAAAAGGTTACTTGCCAGATGATTTCACAATTCTCCACCTGTAAAAAAATTATATTTAAAATGTGGTCATCATTTCATCCAATCATTTAGAGAACCCAAAATGCCCTGATCACTAACCATTATAAAGACAACCATTTTGGAAAATACATAGTATATTTTAAATTTGGATGTTCAGAGAGGCTATTTTCATTCAGCCCATTCAGAGCAGTTGAACATATTGCCCATCATCATAACATAGCTAATCAGTGTTGAGCACAGTGATATCTTTTCCTCTTAAATACTGAAAAATCTGATTTGGGTGCAATATGATTATTAGACTGCCTTTTTGTAACAAGTAAAAAGTAACAAGTAAAAATCTTACCTACGTTATTCAGGACTTAAGTTTCTTCAACTAATTTGACTTTAGGATCCTAGGAATTGAATTGTACAATTTCATGAATCATTTCTTATCATTTTTAACATTTTTCAATATTTTCACTTATGAACTTAAGCAAAATGTTACAGGTCTCATTGTCACCACTGCAAGATAGATACTGTGATGGAAGCATAACCTGTGTCAATTTAGCCACATTGACCAATTCTGAACACTGATCAACAGTGCCCATTCTCATCTAGAATGAGGCTTTATAAATATTCCTCTCAAGCTTACCCAAACACTATGCAAAAGGGCTTCTATATCTGTATGAAGTTTCTTTTCTGCTTACCAAATAGGAGAAAACAAACAGCCGGAAGCAAGATCAACAAAGCCTTATACTTTGTGATATAGATGGATCTGCTTGGTTCTCAAGTGTTGACACCTTACAAAAAGAAAAGCATTATTCACCATTTAAGACTATTAAAATGAACTAACAAGTACCTATAAAAATGCTGTATCAATAGAAATACCAGGTTTAACATGCACAAAGCCAAGAAAACCAACGATGCCAGATACTGAATTTCTATTGCACTGTCCTTTGAACACGCCAGCAGGAAGAAACTGCTGAGTGCAGATACCATGCAGTGCGGAGACTAAACTGTTCCCTCTATTCCCAAGTCTGTCGTGCTGCTGCCAAGAAATGTGATGAGGAAACTACCTTTAAAAACTCTAATGACCTGGTATATATGTGTAATAAGAATTGTAACGCAAAAAAAGTACACGTATGTATGAAGACAAAAAAACTCTTAAAATGATCCAGCCTCTCTAAATACTGCGTAGGATATAAGGCCATGAGTCCCATTCCCACACTAGAAATGTCAATGTCACTTGCTCAAATTGTCAAAGCCTTTGTCAGAATGCCTTTCATTTCCTATTGAATCAACAAATCCAGGCAAACATGGTGTTAGAATAAATCATGTAGAGCTGTCATGTAATACAAAGGAGGAAGTTAATACAAAGGAGGAAGTTAGGAAATACTTCATGTAATGTTAGAATGCCTAAATCTTCAAGTCCTTAATAAATTAGTAAAAATTTCACTTACTTCTCTAACATAAAAATCACCAAGTTCAAATCATATTCACTCCTATAGAGAAATTACCAAATGAAAAATTTAGTGAGGGACACTATAAATATTCTAATATAAAAACCAAAACATAAGGGAAGTTTCATGTGCAGACACATATATTAATTCAGCTCTGTCAGAATAAAGTTTTAGTTCATATCTGTGTCATTCAGCAGTTGAACAGTTAAATTCATCATTTGAACTGTAATGGCATTCCAAAGGATTATACTGAGAATCCTACAAAAACTTACCTATTATCACACTCAGTACTGCAAATGTGGAATATGCCAATATCTAAGATAAAAAGAAAAATTAGGTCTTTCATATTTTTTAATTGTCTTGTAGTTACTTCCCACAGGCCTAACAAACAGTCCTATGAGGAAAGCAAAACCACAGAATTACTCTATGAGGCGTTTCCAACGACGAGTGGCTACAAGAGAAGCCCCATCGGGATAGACCTCAACCAGTGTTTAGATAAATAAATGGAAGACTCCAGAGGAAAACAATGATTAACAAGAATTTCTGATGCACAATAGAACTATAGTTAAAAATGAAAAAAAAAAAAGCTACTTTCATTGTCATCACGAAAAAGAACTAATTTCAAGAGTGGTAGGGTATAGCTTAGGAGTACAGCCACTTGTCTACCATGTGCAAGTCCTAGAATTCCCATTATCTATCCATTACCTCAAATGCAATAATTTTATAGTCCCATGGCAAGGATTTGTACCAAGCTATGTAGGAGCCAAAAGTACCATCAAGTAGGTGACTTTTAGGATTAAGTATAAATTATAGTAGGTTTTTTTGAGGGGGGATTGGGGGGAGTACCAGAGGATTTGACTCAGGAGCACTAAACATCCCCCAGCCCTATGTTGTATTTTTTAATTTAGTGACAGGGTCTCACTGAATTGCTTAGTACCTTGCTATTGCTGAAGCGGACTCTGAACTTGGAATCCTCCTGTTTCAGCCTCTAGAGCCACTGGGATTACAGACATGTGCCAGTGTGCCTGGCAGAAGTTTGGTTCTTAACATGTTTTTCATCTTAAATAGACCAGCCTAATGAATTTAATGATTCTTAGGTATACTTGAATTGAGAAACCATGTTTTAAGACTTCCCAAGAAAACTTTCAAGTAAAATGAAACTAGTACTTCAGCACTATAAAATATTTGAATCCAAGATTGTTTTCTGGCAGTCAATGTCATAATTCAAAATTAAATAAAGCCACAAGTATCTCATTAAAATGAATTAATCTAATATACTTACACCAGTTAAAATATCTTCAAACCAATGCATCATTTTCTGAAGACAGCCTTCAAAAAAAAAAAAAGCCCTTTACTTGAATCCCAATATGAAAATTGGAACATGCAATCAACAAAGCTGAGATTCTCATTTTAGAACCTTTTCATTTATCAAATCACATCATTTTAGGCTATAGTAGATAGTATACCTGCTTGTATGTATCAAAACTCATACTGAACAATGAGTTCTGGGTTGCAAAAGAGGATTTATTTTTTGCACTTGTCCACAAGTCTTTGTCCAAAAGTTTAACAAAAACACACACAAGTGCTACTGTACAATGCAGTGTATTTTAATAGAATAGCTAGCTGCACAATGTTGATTACAATAGAAAGAAAAATGGAAGTTGAAAGCAGACCACAGTGGCACACATCCCAGTGACAAAAAAGAGGCTGAGATTTGAGGCCAGGCTCTGAATCCCCACCCAGTCTTATTAAATTTTTTAAGAATTAGAGATGTAGCTCAGTGGTAGAACACCACTTGTTTCGATCTCCACAGAGGAAAAGAAGGGGAAAAAAAACGCCACTTTGGTATTTGTCAGTAAGAAATGTTTTAGAAAATCTAAGGAAATTGAATATTTGGTTTTATCTTTCTATTTAGGATTAAAATCTTACTAAAGTTATTCTTTACATTTGTTTTACAAAGTTATTCACAAGTTGCTTGTTATTTTCTCTTTGGGAAGTTCTTCATTAGAATTTCAACACGAGGCTTTCACATTTATGCACATTAAACTTCTTTAGTCATTTCTTCCTATGAAAAGTCATTTTTTCTGTATATTATTTACCTGCTTTGACTTCATCTCCTTTAAGGGCACTCTGTATTCTGTCCAATATTTTTGGCATTAGAAGCTCGCTTTTTAGAAAAAGCAGTTTCTTTATTATTATTCTCATGCTCTAGATATATGTTCGTCTTCTTTGGGAAGTCAGAACTTACTATAAAACAACTATCCTCCTGCATTAAAAAGAATATTAAACAATAACTAAAAGCAATTACAAATGTTTAAAGACTAGGTTACTTGAAATAAACTAAACTACATCTAGATTTTAAAAATCTAAATTAGCATCTTTTTTCTTTTAATAGCCTAACACCACACATTAAAACGTTCATAAAATTAAAGATAGGCATGGAATGCAATGGTAGATCACTCATTTAGCATGCAAAAGTTCCTTGATCTAACCCCCCACAAAGACCAAAAAAATTGAAGAGCCCATTTTCTCATTATCAATTATATAAATTAAATTATTATTTCCTGCCGAAATTATTGGACATAATATTCCTCCTATACTAACTTCAGCATTCCTCACGACAGGATAAAAATAAATCACTTACTACCAACTTGATATCACATTCATGTTCAAGATGTGCTGTCTCCTCATCTGCTCTGTAATATTAAAATGCATAAGTTAATGGAGGTAGAGTTATGTCTCGAGGTAAAAGCACTTGCCTAATGTGTATTCAGCACTGGGTTTTATTCTTAGCATTATATATAAATTAATAAATAAAATACTTTAAAAAGGCACAACTTAATGATAAAATATTCTAATTAGTTATATATTCTGCTGACATAATTCAAACAGTAATACTAGTCACGTCTTGTTTTAATAGTGGATGTTTTGTGTGCCGAGTTCAGCTAAAATATCCTAATTAACCTACTATATGTCTATGTTTTGATGGTTATCTATGTATTAATGGTAGCTGAGTGAGTTGGCACATGCCTATAAATCCAGAGTTGGGGAGTTCAGACAGGAGAGCCCTAAAGCCCAACAATTTGGTAAAACCCCAAAGCATAATAAAAAATTAACCTGTTCTCCACTTCTATCCAAATTTCATTCTTTGTGACGAAGTAAACTCCACTGTGTATATATACCATATTTCTTCATTCATCTGCTGAATGACACCTATGCTGGTTCCATTACTTGACTATGGGGCACTATGCTGTAATAAGCATGGGTATGACAATTAAGTACAATATGCTGATTCATTTACATAAATAACAAGAGGTGGTATAGCTGTGTCATATGGTAGTCATTTCCTAGACTTAGGGAATCTCCAATAGTGCTTTCCAAGTTGCTGTACCAATCTGCAGTCCTACCATCAACTCATGGGTATCTCTTAAGTTATATATAATCTATGCCCAAAGTTATTTTACATGATTCCACTTACACAGAGTCTTCAATAGGAGAAATTGATCCATCATCATCCAAATATTTGTATCTACGACTATCAAGATCTTCTTTTTCCAAATCTTCACTAACATTCATTTGCTTCAAGGATTCCTTAAGGTGGTGTTCATACTTCAATTTTTCAATGTAGTTAAAAAATCCTCTTGCAACAGCTTGCTATTAAACACACATTTTTGTCTTAGTCTTTCAAAATTAAGGTGTCTTACTTCATGAAAAAAGTCAGATACTTATATTCAAAACAATTAATCATACCCTCACTCACACACTTGAATCCTAACCATTCTGGACTTCTGAACCAAATTTACCAAATGTTTATTGTAATATTCTTAAACAAAAGATTACAAAAAAATCAATCCTCTCAAATAATTATAGGTTCCAGCAAGACACTTTATATTAATCATGCATTCATTCAGCATTCAATTGTCAAATATACTGCTAAGTATTAGATTATTCATAAAGGAATTCCATCAGAAACAGCTAACCTTTAATGTCTACTACATTTTGGAGATACCAGTCCAACTTGTATTAATGCAAAAATTGGGGATTTTATATCAAGCAGATTTGGCCTGCCATTATTCAGATTCTTAAATTTACAGAAGAAATATGCCAGGAAGAGTATACCTAGAAACACTAGTGAAGTTTGTCCTTTATGATGGAGTATATTTTATGTGGAAGTAAATATAGAATAGTATCCTGAAAACTGCGAAGGACCTGAAAACTGGTCCAGGTATATCTTAAGACAATTCTATAAATGGCTAGGTCATTTCAGACATTTTATTTTTGTGTACCAATTACATACAAAATACTAACTTACTTCAAAGGCTAAAATTTTTCTCCAAGGTAATGGTTTTCTTTCATTCTCAGATTGTAAAAATGGGAGTCTAGATCCTTTGTTTTTAATTTGTTTCTTATCTATTTGTGACCTCTTGGTTTTTCTTCTTCCTTCTGGCTTTTCCTTTGTTCTTAATTTTGGCTTGTACTTTCTCTTCCTCTTTCTTCGTTTCTTTTTCTTAAATCTTTCAAAAATAGCTTTTAAAGTCAATGGTTTTGGTTCTATAGATGAATCACTTGATGAATCTGTAACACTTTCAGGTGAATGAACAAATTTTCTAGTGGGGTTTCTTTGCCTTCTTTTAGGTGGGGAAGTAACACACTGGGTTTTAAATAAGCTGCTACCAGATGAGGAGTCACTAGGAAAATGAAAAAATTCTGTTATAATGCTAATTACTCTTAATACTCAATCACACATGTGCTTTTCTTCTAGGATCAACTCAGAAAAACATTCTCAGAATACCTAAATATTTTCAGAAAGGTGCAGTACCAGCTAGTCTCAGGTCCTGACAACCATATCTAAAATGGCCATAGTACTTTTAAAAAAGAAATGTTATCTAAGGAGTGAATAAAGAAAATGTGGCAAATATATACAAAGGAGTATTATTCAGCAATAAAGAATGACTTAATGACATTTGCCTTCGAATAGATGAGTCTGAAGACTAACATGCTAAGTGAAGTCAGTCAGTCCCCAAAACCAAAGGCCAAATATTCTTTGATATGTGTAAGCTAACCCATAATATGGAGGTGGGGAATAGTGAGGGGTAGAATACAATAGATTAGACAGGGAAAGGAGGTGGGGATAGGCAAAGGAAAGACAGTGGAATGAATCTGACATAATTTTCCCAGATACATATATGAAAACAGTGAATCCCATAATCATAAGTCCATAGGAATGAGATTCTTAACTAGAATAAGACATAAATGCATGCTTGCACAATTATATCAACATGGATTCTGCTATTGTATAACCAAGAAAAGTTGTCTGATTTGCTGCTAGTGTCTCCTCTAAGCATATTAGACAAGTCTGGAAGAGATACCAAGAAAATACCATCTTCCTAAGCCAAGAATATATTATAGTATAATAGATTTTGAATCAAAGTACTTGCAATAATCCAATTAACCTGGAAGGTGTCATCTTTTTTTCTAATTACTGAAATTATCTTAACCAATTATATACAATGATTTATACTTTCTTAGTAATTCAAACACTAAACACTTTGACTGAAACTACCCTTCTCCCCAGAAAGTTCATTTACCTTTGGTTTTCAACTTCCACAGCTGTATCAGACACCAGATAGTCAAGGGAATCCATTCCTGATTTATCCATCACTTCTGTTTTGACTTAAAACTGTTCTCTGAAATTAAGAAAATTCAGAAAATGTGATGCAGCTTCCCTAAGCAATAAAGGCTTACACAGCCAAGATATAGAAAGTATAAGCAGTCAAGCCATGTCACTCTACATGAACCATGCAACTCTGTGAATTTAGGCAAAATAGCTTCCTAAGCTTTTTAAGTTCTAGGAACATAGCAATTTCTTTAAAAAAAACCTAGAAACTGCATTCACAGGTGCTTTCAGTTTTTACATGGTAATTAATGTCCAATTACTAATACTAATGTACAATCAATAGCCAAATATATAACTTAAAATTCTTAAGCCTGAAATTTCCATTTACTCTGCCTTTCTTTTCATGTTCATCTCTGCATTCATATTGTCATCTTTGATTCTGTCTTTGATATTATCTTATAATTGATGAAAACTAATTTTCAGCAAGCTAAAAACCACACATAAACTGCCTTGTCACCATTTTCTAATAGTATACAATAAGCAATAAAATTTTTATAAGACGTAAGAAAGACGTAAGATGTGTCTATTTACTGCATCTCCCGTCTTAGATTTTTCATTGTATTAGCTAGTTTACTTTAAAACATGTAAGCCGTGATATTAAGTTCTAGAATGATAAACCAGTAAACTATTTCAGGTATAAAATCTCAAATTTGTGAAATAAGACAGATCCATGTGACAGTTTTCCTAAATGCAAAATCCTGTCATTACATCAACTACTCAAAAATCAACATTTCCTCCAATAATGTTGTTAGGGGAAAGACAGATGAGGATGGTGAGAACGTAAGATTAAGATTCTATAAAATGGGCCCACTTTCCTGTGCTGACCCCCACATGCTTCCTTTTCTCAAAAGTATTTAACCTGCAGCCTTGCCTGGCCTAAGTGGACAGTATTTCACAATCCTCAGAAAACTGTTACCTGCAAGGAAAGGCAGGCAGGAAATATCATTGATAAGAGGATTCCAAGTTGTTCTGGAGGGAGAGACTTTGTGACCATTTTCACAAACCAAATTGGCTTACAATAATTCCTTTTAACCATAAACCTGTAAAAATTGATTTCAGTTCTAATTAGAACTGCTCAGCTTGGGCCAAGGGAACCTAGAATTGTCAGGGCAATAGGTAGTTGAAAGTCTGATGTTACCTTGCTGTAAAGTGGAGAGGTGGACCTGGGTAGGACAACTTCTTTGGGAACACTGTCCCTTCCTTTCCTCTCTTGAGAACTCTCTCCTCTGGGGGTCCGTTTATCTATCCCTTCAATAAACTGATGCCTGTTATTCTGAAAACATGTCTGAAATCTTTGACTTGATCGCAACAGTCGGAGTTTGAAGTGTAGGTCTTCTGGCTGCCTCAGTTCTTGGAATGCCCCAGCTCTCTAACAGCATTAATGCGCCAGCTCAAATTTTTTGTAAATATTACTGAAATACAGCTAGCTCCAAAATCACTTTTAAAAATCTATGTAGAGAGCATCCCTACTTAGTTGTCGCTTCCAATTGTGGGATTATTTTTTGGAGGCTACGTGGCCAAATAAGACACATAACGAAACTAACTTGTACTTGGTACCTTGCGCTGGCTGAGAAGCTCCAGGAAGCACCCAACCTCAGGCAAGAAAAATGGCGTCCACTAGGGTTAATTCACACAATAGTGACTTCACCCTCTAAGATTTGCCTAGACGAGGTAACATCAATATTTTGACTCGGTGAACTACGCCGGCACTATAATCGCGCTCACGTAGGTCTCAATCCAACCCCAAGGCCTGATTTCTGAGGCTAGATGCACAGCAACACGGCGTCCTGGGAAAACTACACCTGCAGCCCTTCACGCAGGCAAGGCCCGGAAAGCCCCCGCCTCTCCCCTACTTATCTACAAGGCCCCCCCGCTGCATCCACAAGCGCCGCGCTATGGGGGCCTTGGGGCACATATGCGAGGCCTGCAACAGGACGCCGCGACAGACTCGGGCCATGAAACCCTGGCGGTTCGCGCCCATAAGCTTCCCCGCCCGGGAACTCCAGCACACATGAGCAGCTTACCATCTCCAACCATATGGAAGAAAAAGAAATCGCCTCTCTCGCGAGCTCCCTAAATGTGGGGCTGAATTCTCGCGTTACTACTTAGCTCTCGGGACGAAGAGAGTGCTGGGAAGACAGACGCGTCGGTGCACTTCCGACTCCCGCGAGGGGTGGAGCAATTGAAGCGGGCGGAGCCTACCCACTCAACCAGAGGAGGCGGGGTCGACCGAGGAGAGATCACCTGGGTCCGTGGGCTTCGCCCACAGTTTTGGTAAGTTTAATAGCCAAGAACATTTTTAGCAAATAAGTTGTGAGGTCAAATGAACTGAATACATGTGAACAACGAGGAAGTGGACGATTTGTTTCCGGTGAGCTTGCGTTTGCTAAAATGAGATTGTCTACTTTTGTCCTCAAACATGTCATCTGTGTTAAAATATTGGGAAAGGCTCATATTTTGATCTGACTCCAAGTGTATAACATTTGTATTGAAAGCCAGTATTATTCCCTTAGTACACCCGCTTAACATCCCACTCACGTACACTTGCTACCACAGTACTTTTCTGCGCCTACCAGAAGTTCCATATTTTTAAACAAGTTATTCAGGCTGTAGCTTCCCAGGGTTAAACTTCTGTTTCTAATTCGGTAGGGGAATAATATGACAGATCTTTTGAGATAGTAAAGGATATTAAGTTAGGATTATTTATTTGGATTTAACTTGAGTCCTTTTTCCTACTGTAAGCAGAAGAATATAAAGTGCTTTTATTGCCAGACGTGGTGGTGCACACCTATAATCCCAGCGATGTGGGAGGCAGAGGCAGGACCAACGCAGCCTCAACAACTTAGGCCCTAAGCAACTTAGTAAGACCCTGTCTATAAATTGAAAAATAAAAAGGGCTGGGGATGTGGTTCAGTGATAAATCACCTCTGGTACCAAAATCTAAAAATGATAATAATAAAATGCTTTTATTATCCTCATTATAAATGAATATGCTATTCATTGTCAAGATTTTGATGTTTATAAATAAGTGCATGCTAATTGCCTGATAGAGTGTGATAAAATTTAGGAAATCAGTGAAGACTACACAGTAATTCTTTTCATAAAATATCTGTCAATCTATTTAATAAGAAAAAATTAAAATATCTTACTCTGAAATAATCATAGATTATTCAACTCAAAAACAGGTTTAAGATTTTAAGTATGATTATTAGAACTTCTTGTCAACAGTTATGTATATTTAACTTGGGAGATCGGATTATATTAAATAACTAAAGGACAGTAAAAGTTAGTATTTGATAAGTACTAAAGTAAATGTCTCCAGGCACAGTGGTGGAGCTTGTAGTCCCAGCTTTACAGAAGACTCAGGGGGGAGGATGACTGGAGCCCAGAAGTTCCAGGCCAGTATGGGCAACAAAGTGAGGCCCCCCCATCTCTTTTTTTTAAAAAAAGTAAATTTCAAGTCTTAAATATATGCAATAGCATGTTTATAGAGCATATGTTTAGAAGTATCATCAAAACTAGATCTCCCAAGTTAAATATACATAACCAGCTAGTTTCTATGAAATCTATGAATCTTTGGAAATTTTTAAAAATAAATTCTTGGAAAAGTAATTCAAATGATTCTGACTTTTCATATGCTAAGTAAGCATGTTAAAACCAGATACATTCCAGTTAATGAGATGATCTATTAACAATTTTTTTTTTTTCAGTACTGAGGATTGAACCGAGGTTACTCTTCATGGAGCTACATCCCCATCCCTTTTTTATTTTTATTTTGAGATAGGGTCTCCCTAAGTTGCCAAGGCTGGCCTCAAACTTAAAATCCTTCTGCCTCAGCTTCCTGAATTGCTTATAGGCATGTGCTACCATGTCCTGCTCTATTAACAGGACATGGTTTTTGACCAACCGTTTATTGAGAACTAAAATACACAGGGGTCAGTTTGTAGCAAAGGGTACAAAGGAGAAGTACAGCTTTCCAGTGAAATAATGTATTGTCCTTAACTTCAGAGCCTTGTGAACAGGCCTTAAATTTGTCTAATAAATGGCAATGAAGAATATTCTAAAAGAAAAAGAATAAAACAAACAATTCCAGCAGTGCTCTTAGAAGTAGAAATTTGCTTAAGAGTTTTGTCCTTAATCCTTATTGTGATTGGTCTGGAGTAGGATTCTCCACCCACTTTGTCATCATCGTCTTTTTTTTTTTTTTCCTTTTCTGCCTTCATTTTATTTATCTCCTTCTACTTGCACATATCATCACTTGAACATTTAAGGTAAGATACTAATCTCTGTAAATGTATACCTATTTATTGTAAATTATACTAAGCATGTATTTTAAAATATCAAATTATAATCAGCTAGGTTATCAGAATCATTGAACATGAAAACTACTTACCAAGAAAGTGTTTATTTTTGAACAAACTAAAATTTAAATTTCAGAATCTAATCGTCTGTTTCCATTCTACTAGTGATTTAAATCTTCTTTTGTAAAAATGATAGCCTAAGAAATTTAATTTTTAGCTTAAATGTCAAAATAGAGTAAGAAACACATTCTGGAAATATTTATATGTGTATTTTATATGCTAGCTATATATCATATATATGTTACGTTGTTATATAGACTCCAGTACTGTTATCTACAGCCATTTAGACACTTATTCACAATCCTTAATAAGTGCCTTTTGTTTCAAGATCCATATTCCTTTGACCAACCATTAGAAAATTACATGTTCAACCCAGATAGATGACCAATAAAACGAGTCATATATATCTTCTTATATTGGTGTTTCCTCTTATTAGTCTATTTTAAATGCCAACTATTTAAAACTATTGGGCTAAAAATATAGACAGTCTTAGCATAGAGTTCTTGCCTAGCATGCATGAAGCCCTGAGTTCAATTTCCAGCTCTGCAAAAAAAATAAAATAACAGTATTAAAAAAGGCCACTTACCCATTGTTCACTTGGAATATTAAATGCTAGAACTGTGGTTTCCTTTCTGTAAGGACAGAAAAGCCTAAATGCCCTTTGCCCTCATTATATAACTGAACTCTTAATGTTCACTTTCAGAACGGCAGGCACTGTTCACATCTGGTGCACTGTGAACTCTTGTGATAAGTGGCCAACAGGAGCTTTGATTGTACAACCTTATACCTAAAGAAGAAAGAAAATGGCTCATTCTGAGTTTTCTTTTCATGTGCCAAGTCTAGAGGAACTTGCTGAAGGTAAAAACAATATTAACTTTGGATTTTTAAGAACTATTTTAAGAGAAAAAAGATTCTAAGATTTATATGTATCTTACTAATGTTTATCTTGTTGAAATGGTACTTCTGATACAGAATTTGTCATTTCAATATCTATTCTGTACTGTTTTTATTGAGAAACTCTTAAATTATGTCCCCTAACAAAATTAAACTCACCATTTATAGATTCTTGATGACACCAACTTCACATGATGAAATTGACTAAAGTAACCCAAAATTTAAGTACATATTATGTCCAGAGTTGTACAACTTCGCTTTATTACCTTTTTACCAGTTATAATTTTTGAGTGCGGGGGTGGTGCTGGATATTGAACCAGGGAGTATTTTACCTCTAATCTACATCCTCATCACATTTTATTTTTTATTTTGAGATAGGGTCTTGCTAAGTTGCTTGGGGCTTTGCTGAATTTCTGAGGCTATCTTGAAATTTGTGATCCTCCTGCCTCAGCTTCCCAAGTTAACAGGATTACACCATACTTGGCCAAAATACCTTAGTTAGAGGCTAGGTTCTGCTGCTCCTTGTGTTGCACAAATATTTGGATTCAAATTGTAGGAAATAGGTTTTATTCAAAGTCAGCTTTAAATGGAGATAAAAGAAACTTGGTTTCAAATTTCTATCTTTACAAAACTTTTTTTTTTTTTTTTTTTAGTTTTAGTTTTGGGGATTGAACCCAGGGGCACTTAATCACTGAGACATATCTCCAGCCCTTTTTAATTTTTATTTTGAGACAGGGTTTCACTAAGATGTTTAGGACCTAACTAAGTTGGCAATGTTGGGATCCGGAAATGCTTTTAAAAGAAAAAAGATGGGTCAGGCACTGAGGCACATGCCTACAATTCCAGCAGTTTGGGAGCTGAGGCAGGAGTATTACAAATTTTAGGCCAGCCCTGGCAATTTAGCTAAATCCTGTCTCAAAGTAGAAAATAAAAAGGGTTAGGAATATAAACAGTAAAGCACCCCTGGGTTTGATCCCCATCCAGTATTAAAAACAAGAGAGAGAAAAGAGGTAACAAAAGGCAAAAAAAAAATATACATGTGTAACAGATTTAGTTATCCTGTGAGACAGAGAACATGTTAGGGGTGTCAGGCCAGGACAGGGAGGCAATCTCCACTCATAGCTTCCTTAGCATCCCCCAGGCCAGGGAGCACAGCTCTCCAGCTTTTACTCTCAGTTTGAGGAAATACAGAGGCAGAAAAATATATTAGAAACTTGCTTTAATTTCAGAGGAGTCCTTAATTGCAGTATTTCATTTTGATCCTTAAAAATACATTGCTCCCAATGCGATGGTGCACACCTGTAATCCCAGCAGCTCAAAAGAGAATTGCGAGTACAAAGCCAGCCTCACCAAAGGCAAAGTGCTAAGCAACTCAGTGAGACCCTGTCTAAATAAAATACAAAATAGGGCTAGGGCACTGTTCAGTGGTCGAGTGTCCCCGAGTTCAATCCCTGGTACTGAAAAAAAAAAAAAAAGTACATTGCTCTTTGGATTTATAACTGTGACACCTATTCTGTTTACATTTGTACTATGACATATCTACAAGAAAGTGCACTTATCTTGAGGTATAGCTTATTTAATGTTTACATGTAACTGCTGTCCAAATCAAAATCTAATATGTTTTTCATATCCCAAAAGACTCCTTCATGGAGCTTCCCAATGTCTTTATCCTGAGAGGTAACCACTGTTTTGACTTTTATCACCGTGGATCAGTTGCCTATTTGAAATACATAAAGTTAAATCATACAGTCTTTA